TAAGAGACGCTGACTGCAGACTGTATATTAAACAAGTACCTACATACTTTTATAATGTCCCCCAACAACCTTTAGTTACTGAGTCCAAATGTAGACATTTTTTACAAGTTGCTTGGATGACAAATATCAACATCAATTACTGTGGGTAATATTCAACATTTTTAAAAAGTCACAAACACCCAACTTCTTGAACAAGATAAATAGTTGAAAACTATCAAGTCGATTGTTTATAAAATATCTTGTCTCTAGCATTTTCAAAAACCCTTTATATTAAGTCTGTGAAGAAATAAAAAAAATATTTTGAATTAAATTCTGATGGAACTAAATCAAAAACAAATCAATGTCTTAATATATTTTAAGCCCTTTATAAACACACTTCCTTCAGTCGTTCATTCAGTTTTCAGAACTTTCTCTCCTTGTTTTGCCAGTGAGTTCACGCTGTCGTTCACTTTTCTCTCAACAGATTTTGCGGCTTCGTTCGTCTTTTCTAACCTGGTTTTGTTGCTGAGCTTCCGTCTGCCCACTTCAGTTACCGCTGATCCAGCAGCTGCACCGATAGCTCCGCCGAGGACACCCCCCAAAAACACGCCCAGCAGGAGACCCAGCAGTGCGCCTGCGATAACAACCTTGGGCACCTGTTTAGCAGTCGTCCCGATTTTCTTCCACATTGGGCTCTCAGCAACCATTTTGGCCCCTGCTTTGGCCCCCGAGCCCATCTTCCCCCAAGCCGGACTCTGCGCCACCGTCTTTGCACCGGCACCAATTCCAGCTCCCACTCGCAAAGAACCGTCAGCCATAAGTTTAGCTCCGCTCTTGGCCCCGGATCCTACTTTTCCCCACACAGGACTCTGTGCCAAACTCTTGGCCCCAGTTCCGATCCCAGCCCCTACACGCATGGATCTGTCCGCCACTAGTTTGGCCCCTGAACCAACTTTCCCCCACATGGGACTTGCTGTTGCTGCTTTTGCTCCAGATCCCACCCAAGAAGAACCATCCACCACCACCTTGGGAACTCTGTCTCCTACTAGTTTGGATGCTTGTTTGGCACCAGCTCCCATCTTTCCCCAAACTGAACTATCAACCACCATCTTCTGGACATTTTGTGCTCCGCTGCCAACTGTCCCCCACACTGGGCTACTTTTCACCTTCTTTGCCCCCTCACCAGCCCACGTGGAGCCGTTTGACAACAGCTTGGGTAACATTTTTGCACTAGACTCCATTTTCTCCATAATGGAACGAAGGAGTGAAGGGGACAAGCTCGAAAGCGTAATAGGAGGAAGGCTCTCGATGTCCATGGTGCTTACACTCATCTCTGCCTCATGCCTTGTTTTCTCAATCTCATCTTCTCTCACTTCCTCTTCTGCCTCGGCCACAGGCTGCATGTAGGGATAGAGTACCCGCCTCTCAGAGTTCAGCTGTGCAACCTCGCTTGATTTTTCCTGCTCCAGACTCTTGCTTTTTTTCTCTCTCGCTATCTCTACCTGTCTCTGTCTCACTCGGTTCTCAGCCTCCTGAAAAGCAGGACAGGAGTAACACTTTTCTCCGGCCTCCTTCACCGTCTGCTCCACCTTATCTAACAGCTCCGCCACGTTCCTCCTCTCCCCCCGACCTCCTTTGCTCTCTAGCACATGAAACCTGTCACGACATTTCTCCACAAGGTTTAACAAATCCCCCCGCTGACCGGCAATATATGCCTCCACGCTGTCGTTTCCTGCCTTCCCACTCTCCCTCAGTCGATCAGCGTACGTGAAAAGGACGAGAGTGTGCTTCTGGATCGCATCCGGGCCAAAAACAACTTCGAGGGCCCTGAGGGCCTGGAGCTCGGTCTTTGCGGGCTGGTCCAAGGGGACGCACAGGAGGAAGGCGTGGGGGCCGGGACTGGACAAAGCAACACAGGAGGAGATCTGAGCTCGCACCTCATCAGGAGTTCGCTCTGAAGTGAACCAGTCTGGGGTATCCACCACTGCCACCTGCAGGTGATAGAGAGGAGACACATACAGCAAAATAAAAACACAGGCAGATCATGGGGACCTTGACTGTTTTATGACAAAAAGGTTGTGTCACATTAGAGGTTGGGGGTTTGGCACATTGTGGGATAAGACAAAGGAAATTGAAAACAAGTGTCAACAATAACAATCAATAACTTTTAAAACACTCACCCTTCTTCCCTCCACAAGCGCTTTCTTTTTCTCACATTGCTGAGTGATGGACGTGAGGCTGTCCGGGTCTGACTTGAACTCTTCTCCTCCGAGGATGCTGTTGCCAGCTGCACTCTTCCCTGCTCCGGCCCGCCCGAGAAGCACCAGACGTAGCTCCGGAGAGGATAAGGAGGATGAGGGGTACGAAGTGGAGGAGGCGGAGGCAAAGGTTGATGAGGAGGTTGAATAAGATGAGGGGATTGTGGAAGATGTGGAGGATGAGGGGACTGTGGAGGATGAGGAAGAAGAGGGGAATGAAGAAGATGATGTGCGAGAGGCAGA